CTTTCCCAGCCACAACTTGCAGGACACTTGTGCCATTTGTTCATGTGGGTTAGAATGATTACTAATCTTCAACAAAATATATAGACAGCAATTAATAAAAACCCCAACCATCATGAGAATTAAAACTTTTATTAGTGTATTCACATATTAGGCAAATGCAACACGCATGAAGCTTATTTCTTAGGTTCACAAGTTCTACCAATACATTAGTCTACTGGTAAAACTAGCACAAACTGGTAACTGCTTTGCCAATTTTTGAAAGGGTCCACTTTTTCAAGGCTTGATTTTTGGTATTGCTTCTATGCCTTAGTCATTACGGCATAAAAATATCCATCATTATCATCAATTCAGTCAACTGATTAAAAGCTGTAACACTGGCCACATTTTTGTTCTCAAAGCTAAGTTATCACTAGCTGTACTTACGAAGTACAGTACTAGTGTAATGGATGAACAATGGGAAAAACAGACAAAGGCAATCCTGCTACTGCCACAATAACGAAAGAATGACAGACAGCTAGATCACAAGATTGTTAGTAAGATTTATATTTTTCAAGTCAGAATAACCCTTCTATACAGTTTCCCAACCCATCCCCAACCCAGACTTATTTGTAGAATATATTTCAGAATATTTTTAATATGGTGCAGCTGTAGTGTCCAAGGGTTCACAATAACATGCACTGTCACGAAGAACCTAGAAGTCCTCCTTCGCTGGTCATACCTCAGCAACCACTATCCTAGAGGTTTTGCAGAAGCAACTACTTTAATAACAAGGCCCATTATGACATAATGAATGCAGATGATCTGGTGTGTAAGTAAGCTATACAAAGCCACTCAGATCAGAAATTTAAATTCTCTTACTGAAATATGTTATGAAGCTGCATCTATTTAAAACCTAAACAAAAAGAGTCTAGTTTACCCTGGGAAGAGATTTTTCAAGGTATTTGGCTCCAAAACCTAAACCCCACTATTTTTACTGACATCTGTTCAATGAAAAACATAGAGATGTTAAGGGGTAAGCCAAGAATCTTGTACACTTATTTCATTGTATCCAATGCTATAGTAAATTCCCATTCCATGAGAAAAACCACCCATTCCAATGATTCAAGGTACCAAAAAAATGTCCCAAATTAGGTCACTGCCAGCAATATGGCTGGCACAAGATGCATTAACTCAGATGGGTAGGGAAAAGTAGACTCCTAGTGTGATGGATACTCGGAATTTATAATATGAATTCATTTTAGGCCCCATTAAGTATATAAAGTATCTTAAGATTTCACAGATGAATCTCAAGACATTTCTTTCCCTTCCAATGGAGGGATTTTCTTTTTCTTTAAGAAGGCAGCAAAAGTTAAGCTTTTCTACAAGGAAAGTCTGCTTTTTATGTTTAGGACAACTTGAACACCTGTTTATATAAAAAAATTATAAAAGAATAAGGGAGTAGAGTCTTGAATTTTATGAGAGATTTGCCCCAATCAAAAAAACAAATGACTATTTGTGGGAACTAAAATGTAGAACAGCACAATACTGTAATATCTGAATTCATGATACATTACCTGTACATATACTTAGCTATTCATGTTATTGATAAACCATTAGGACACTCAATTATATACCCAATAAAAACACCATTAAAGAGTCTTTAGAACTGTCCCCTCTTCTTTCTGAAGAAGGCATTTCTATACACTAAATTTTCATCTAGTATCAGAGTATAGGAAACAGAATCCACAAGGTGCTTTAACTGATGAGACCTCAAGTGCTGTTTTTCTTTTTTCTCTTTTTCTTTTTTTTTTTCTTTTTTAAAAACCTTTTTGGATAGTAAACAGTTCATGGGGACCACACACAAATACTACAACAGATGAGCTGTTATATTAAGTCTGTTGATTGGACTTGATATTTAGCCCACTGGTAAAGGAGGAGGGAGTTTTACGACATGCTGGAGCAGCGTACTGAAGGGGAGCCCATCTGAGTCAATACTTTGTCCAACCATTGTAGAGGTCCATTCAGATGAAGCTCAATCCAGCAAGGAGTGCTTGTTACTGTTTGCCGCCTAGAAAACAAACAATAGGGAAGTCAGAGAGCAGCTTTGGCTGCCATAATACTCTCTGTTTTATGACCAAATATGTTTCCATCTCTATCTAGTACACATGAAGATAAAAATCTGCAACCGTTACAATAAATCTTACTAAACTTATTTCAGACAGTCTTTGAATAAACAAAAAACACCAACTGAAACTACAAAACACTCCACAACTGTAAGATACATCAATAAGTACATGCTTGTCCATTACACATCAAGGTTACTACACTCTGGAGAGTAATAGCAGCAGCATTTGCTTCAAGTGCCACACCAAGAGCCTTCTAAAAAGAAAATCGAAACTGAAGGTTGTCCAAAAGATGCAGTATTCGCATCACATAACTCTGCCCAGCTGTATCTCAACCTTTAAAGTGTCTGCATGCACAACTCTGTTTGAATTTTGTAGACAATTACTGAGAAATATGGAATAGAAACCCTTGGACCTGAACTGTCAGTGTGGCCAAACAGCACAATGCTATTGTGATCATAAGGTCTGGCTTTTTGGAGAAAATGAGACCATAAATGCATGAGCAGAGTGGCAGATTTTGGCAGAAACAGTATGTCAAAACACAGTGTGTGGTTGTACTGTGGTAACTGATGGTATCTCAAATGAATACCAAACTTTATCGCTGATTTCCTGTAATCTTACATTTCTACATGTGTTTTGTACTGTAAGATCCTCACAAACAATTTTAGTAAAACTGCATTTCCCTTGTCTTCTACACTAACTTGCCTATAATTTTCCACAACAGAAGCCCTTAATTATACAACATATAGCAAGCAGCAGCAAAGCTGAAGGGCTGACAGCCACAAAAGCTTCATTCGGTCTCCCATAAAAACTTGTTTCAGATTCAGAGACTTGTTCATCAAAAATGTTCCTTCTCTTCTCCAAAATAAAGAAGTCAGTATTGGACATACTCTGCCTAAGAAATCCTGTTATTTCACTGTACCCACTCTAGGCATGGGAGTTTTACCTAACTAGACCAACAAGACTACTGTTGCTAAGCCAGTTTTTCCTAGTAATTCTAGCTATCCCAGACTCAAAGCAAGGAGGTATTAAGATTCCAAGGCAGCAGATTAGTCAGACACAAACCCAGCCCCTTCATTTTTACTGTCAGCACGGCAACCCTTCACTTAAAGGAAATCTGTTTATATAAACTGAGGAACTGAAAAGGCAGAAAGATTAAGCCAGTGAGCAGACGGATTTCAAAAGTTATCTGTGGTCTCACATTTTCTAGAAGACAGCAGCTGGGGTCTGCGCGCTCTCAGCACTCCACAAAACACTTATTTTAGCCCCGAATGCCTATGCCAAAACAAAGTGATACAACAGAAAAAAAATTCTAAACCATAGGAAATATAATTCCATTTAGTCTCAAATCGTCTCCCAAAGAAGGAAGTTCATTATTCCATCGCTGTCCACTTCCCTACGATGTGTTTCACAACACACTTCATCAAATTTTATAACTGGTTCTGTTCAACAACCCTGGCTTTGCAATATGCTGGCAAATAAGGATAAAACAGTGACAGTCACTGAGCAACCATTTCAAAGCTAAAAACTCTGCCTGTTCTACTTGCAGATTGCTGGTTCATGTACCACTAATCACCTCTACTGAATTTTCTTCAGAAGGTAATCCTAGACCTGGATAGTTCCTGCGCTAGTGTGAACACTTGCCTGGTGATCTGAACTTCTACCATCTCAATTCAAGCCAACATGCATCAAGCAAAAAGCTGTAAGCCATTTTGTCTACCCAGCTTATGTATCTCCTATCTCCTTGCCATACCTGCACGTTTAATGCACATATGCCTAAAATAGCAAGTAATGCTTTGGTATTGCCCAAGCCTGTTCTGTGAGAAACATTTTTTCACATAATAATGAGCCATGGAAGTTATAACAAGAATAATGGGTTTTACAGTGCTTCCTGGTCTATTTTGACAAGTCAAACTACATTCATTTAAACTGAAGGTTGTGTTTGCTGGAGCAACCTCTTCTTGCTTTAATCACAACTGCCGTATAACTTACAAAGTTTTGTGCATCAATAATTTATTAGCATCATCTTAAACAGAGATGCAAAGAAACTAGTTCAGCACTATGTCAGCAATCAGTTTCTGCGCTGTTTTGGCAGTGTTTGCAGTGCAGCTATTTCAATCCTATGATCTCCGAACTGTTTACAGACTAGCAATCAACACACTCCCCACTCAGAAATAACTTTACCAAGTCTCCTGTTTTAACCCAGCACTTACACTCCATTCACTTCAAGCTGCCTCCATATAATCTGATTAAGCTTTTCTTCTGTTCAAATTTGAATGCTGTATTTAATTATGCCTAATTGTATACATACTCCTTCAGTGCCAAATCAAATAGCTCTTTAAACCTGAGCCAGAATTTTTCTTGTGTACTTCCACCTAACAAAGAGCTACCAATTTATTCCATTACTCAAATTTCTCATTTCATCTAAGTACACTATTACAAAATCAGTTTCGTTTAGGTGAGAAGCCTCCCTAATGTACTGACATTGCTACTGACTTGTAAGTATTTCAAGAGCAGACAAAAGAAACAAACCCCTCCAACTCACAATCAAACCTACACGTCATTATTCGACTTCAACACAGTATGGATCAAAACAATCATTACATATTGCATTAGAGTATTGATATGCCAGACTCCATTCTTTCAGTGGGCAATTTGTAGTGAGGTTTAAGGGGTTTGTTTAAAACCACATCTCTAGCTGTGGGAAAAAAAATGAAATCTTTGAAACTGCCCAGCTAGAAATCAGTTCCTTTCCTTCCCAAATTCCCATAATGCATTAAAAACAGGCACTGTCCTCAACTACAGCTGTTAGTTTGTGCTAATAGAAAATAAATTGGAATCTATTCAAAAGCAGATAAAATGCTATTGTATTCCACTAAAATAATTATTTTTAGAAGTTTTACTGCATAAACACAGTTGTCTTAGTACTGCAAAGTTTTTTCCACAAATTCCAAAATATCTGCCATCCCTTAAATCTCTACTCTCCAACCATTTGATTCTGCAAGAGGTGCTCCAAGGGACTCAAAGTCTTTCTGTTGGATGCCATCAACCCCATCCCGCATCACAACCAACAAACTCATACTGCACACAGAACAGCAACCAAAATGACTGCATGCCTAACAAGCCGCAGATAACCTCATGACACAAACTATGAAACCTCTAGATGGTGTCAGTGCTTTCATCACAATATGCAAACCAGCAGGACCAAGCAAGGAAACAGAACTTTGACGACATTCCTTGCTCGACAGCTGCGTTCAATGCAACACTAAATCAGTTTATGGACTCAATAACTTAGGAGCTCCACAGGCGAGAGGGAGACAAAGGAAAATATGGTTTCAATTTGCACATAGTGTATCCACAATAGCAGTAAGAACCCTGTACCTATAGCTTTCAAGCCAGACAGAAACAGTTTATTAGTGAAAGAGCAAAAATTATTAACTCCAAATTTAAAAGCAAAGGGGTTTTTTCTTACCTGTATTCAGCTCCCCATCCTTTAACAAAACTCATTCTTATGGTACACATTCTAGTAAGCTGATAAACTGCTTCAAAACCCTGATTCACAGATTGAGCCAGAAGAGCAGCAAATTCTTGGTTATTAAAGATTTTTAGATTGCATCCTATGAAGGAAAAAGAGTCAAGAGTGCACAATCAGTGAGTACTTGTGTTTGTCACACAGAAGCCCAAAACTACAAAGAAATTATGAAAAGAAAAGCAAATGTCATCCAGTGAATACCTTTACTGGATATTTGCAGACGAGCCCTTTGGTAGGCTACTAACCTGGTGGAATTTTGCACACAGTTGCAGGATGCCAGCCATATCTTTGATTACAGTTGGGGCTCTGAACAAAAATTGCGCTATCACTTAGGCACTCAGCAAAAACTTCTCCACCAATGTAATAGAGACGTACTCCCCTTCCTGCAGCAAAATTCAAAGTAAGTCTAGTTATGATATGATCCAAGCAGAAACAAGAGAGTATTTTGCTTCAGAGAAGGCCAAGGTTTTTCTTTACAACAAAATCAGGAATCAGGACCTCACTGCTGGGCTGACAGCTGTAGCAGGAGCAGAAGACAATTAACTTGCATATTTCTCCCACAAATTAGCCATATATGAAGGAGAAACAGAATAATTTTTGGTCAAAGGTAAGACAGAATTTTGTAACCATATAAAAGCTTGTAACTAAATCCATGCTTGGAAGCAGCATTAATTTAAACAGAATTAAAAATTGTGCCAATATTAAAGCATTGTATGTGAAGCAGCACAGGCCACTATGTGAAAAGAGGAAAACACAAGTATACCACCACTTCAACAGTCTCTGCTTACATGCACCCATGCTATTTCACAACTCACTGCATAGCCCTGCTCTGAACTGCTTTAACTAAAACTACAGGACTGCATTTAGCTTCATTACAAATAAACACCCATAAGAAATCCTATTGTTTGCTTTTAAATTGTGACTTTGCTCTCTTTGAATGAAAACCAAATCTGTATGGGTTATTTCTAGCAGATGGTAACTGATGTACAATTGATCTCCCAAAATTTTTTTTCAGAATTAACAGTTCCTTTAAAGACCAGTTTCCATTCTCCTTTTTCTTTAAAACAATTTTTCAAGCAAAATGCAAGCTGCTCTATTAAAAAGAGAGCTCATTACATTTTCACTTTTCCTCATCATTGATCATTTTGATCAGTCAGCACAGGCACAGTCTGGGTTTCTGCATACACAAAATTTTATTAGACAAGCATTTGGATTTGGCATAGAGGAAGTCAGAAGGTTCTACTAAAGAGGTTGAAATTATACTAAAAGTAAAAACAAAAAATTTTATGAATGTTGCTAATAAAAGAATCTATGAGGGTAGAAAGAATAAACGTGAAGAGCCTAAAGCCAAGAGACTGCATGACGGAAAAGAACATTCTTGACCACTCATTACAAAAAAAATCTTAATCATTTTGAAACATCATTATGTCAACAGCAGGTTTTTCCCATTTCATAAAAGAATTCAAGAAGTACTTCCAATGTCCATTCTGCATTTGATAAACTAGAATAAACTAAGCAACATGTTCATATTTTGTAATTAGACCTTATATTTCAATTACAAGCAACTCTGAATATGAATGCTGCCCAAGGCAGAGGTGTCCAACGAGGAGTGTGAAAATCAAAACCCTGTCCCCCAGGATGCTTTGGTGTACCATTTTTTTCCAGAAGGCAGATAACAGCAATGTGAGTGACAGAAATCCCATACAGTTGAGTGGCTTCCTCCTGTGCTGTTCAAAGTCTAACAGCTGTGTGACTGCTGCTGCCACCAGCTTAGTGGTTACTGATTGCAGAAAGGCAGCTCCTTTCAGCTCCAGCCATCACTACCTCTCTTCCCAGTTCCAAACAACTTCAGTAGCAGAAGCTGCTGCATTTCTTCCTGATTTCAGAAGCATTGACTTCTCTCTTTCTACTTCTATCCTTAGCCAGAAAGACCAAACTATCCTTGGCAAGCCCTGAGAGAGAAGGCTGAATGGCTGCAGCACAAAGGTGAAAGGAACCCAACACACATTCTACCTGGATCATTCCAGTTAATTCAATGGCCACAATGTGATTAAGTAGTTAAGAGAGAAGAGATCTTTACCTATGTGCCGCCTTGTCATTTCCACTGTAGCATTTCTGTTTACATTGGAAAGCAGACCTAGACAAAATCGTTCTGAATTTGATGGATCTGTAAAGCCATCTACAGTCAGGGAAGGCTGGGATGCATGGAAGGTTTCTCCCACTCTTTGATTCAGTTCATAATATGCTATTGAACACCAAAATGCAGGCTCCGAGTATGTAACCGGTTGCAAGTCTAAAAAAAAATAATAATTTAAAAACAAGCTTAACACAGAACTCAACACTGAAAATAAAACTGTATTCCTTGCTATCTGTGTCTCCTGGAAATAACAGTGGTAGTCTCCTCAAACTACTCAAAATGCTTGCTTGCTGTCAGTTTTACCTCCCTAGTAAACAGAATGGAATTCAGTCTTCCACACATGGGAAGAAGGAGGGGAAGAAGGGGTAATCTAATCTCACCACAGCTCATTTAGTTCAGTACTTGCATTTTGCTCAGCAAAATGATTACTATCTGTGTCTCCTGGAAATAACAGTGGTAGTCTCCTCAAACTACTCAAAATGCTTGCTTGCTGTCAGTTTTACCTCCCTAGTAAACAGAATGGAATTCAGTCTTCCACACATGGGAAGAAGGAGGGGAAGAAGGGGTAATCTAATCTCACCACAGCTCATTTAGTTCAGTACTTGCATTTTGCTCAGCAAAATGATTAAGCTAATGGTGCATGCCAGGCA